AAGTGGTAGTTTAATCTCATGTTCCCTTTGTCTATCACATGAAAAGAATCTTCGATAACATAAGGTATTTGGCGAGATTTTCTTGATTTCATGGTGGGGTCACAATCCCTTTTGTGATAACATAAGGTGTTTGACGAGATTTTCTTAAATTTGCGGTGGAGTCACGGTCCCTTTGTATATTAAGTGAAAAGAATCTCCGATAACATTGGCGAGATTTTCCTGATTTTGCGGTGGGGTCACCGTAGCTCTAATTTTAATAGAAAAACAAACACACCCTAAATCATATTACCATGTGGGATAGCGGCTGGATGAGCAACAATTTCAAATATATATTTATGTATGCCCGTTGTTGTTTAAGCTACCTACTAGTACTGTAGCTGCCACTAAAATTAAGTTGGTGTTTTAATCCAGTGACTAAAATTTAGGAGGTGTGTTGGGAGGATGTTGCATGGGGTGTTCGGATACTAATAAAAAAACAAATTACATAATCAGTCAGTACTCTACGAGACGAATTTTTTAAGCCTAATTAATTCGTTATTAGCACATGTTTATTGTAGCACCACATTGTCGACTAATTAGGCTTAAAAGATTCGTCTCGCAAATTAGCCGCAAACTATGCAATTAGTTTCGTAATTAATCTATATTTAATACTTCATACATGTGTCCAACATTCGATGGGACAGCCACTAAACACCACCTTAAAGTGTGTGTCAAACCATACTCCTACATCTCACGCACAGTCACAAGGCTGCAATTAATGCGTCGTGATTAGATCCCTCGACCTACCACAGTTTCGAGGAACATAAAAATGCTATACAACATTAATGTGTTTTAAGGGGAAAAAACACGTGAATTTTTCCTATATCTTATTTCACCGGTGCTCCCAGTGCTCGGCGACCGGTGTCGGGCCCGCCCGCACTCGGATCGCACCCGGTGGGCCTCCTCCACGGCGTCGTTCGCCTTCGCCGTTCCCAGCAAGGTCATGCACGCATGCACCCAGGCTAAAGTTTTCCAGATGGGCCAGGCCCGCTGGGCTGACACGGGCATGGCCCGATAAAGCACGGCCCAAGCACGGCCCGGCCCGCATGGCCCTGTTCCCGTGCCTGGCACGGCCCGCACCCGTGCCCGTGCCTAGGCCTTGAGTTCGGCCCATGGGCCAGCACGGGCACGGCATGGAAAAGCGGCCTGGCCCGGCATCGGCACGGCCTGATGAACGCCAGCCGTTGGATCAGGAACCCTAAATGATTCTAACCGTTGGATCCGACCGTTGGAACGCGGTGTATATAAGCTATGCCGGCCTCACTCCCCTCTCCCACCCGAAAGGCGAAAGGCCGAAACCCTACTTCATTTCCCACTCCCCCGCGCCGGTCTCCTCGCTTGCGCTCTGTCAGCCGTGGCGAACGGCGACTCCCAGGGGTGAGGGCGACGGCGGCTCGCCGTCGTCCCCTCCTCTACGTCTCGCCCTCTGGCGGCTCCTGAGCCAGAGCTACGAAGATCCAGGTAGGATACCCACCTCTACTTCTTCTCGCCATCCTGCAGCTCCCCGTTCATCTTGCTTCAGTTCTTCTCTAACTTGTGTGTTTTGTTCTACAGATCCGCTGATCCGCTGCTGCTCGGAGGAGTCGGAGCTCCTTCTACGTCGCCGGCGACTGGGAGGTAAGAAACCCTAACCCTAGATCTGGTCTCACTTCTTCTTCTTCTTTGTTCCCGATCTAACTTCTTCTCTTTTGTGTTTTGGCAGCCGTTTGAGGCCAGCGCCAGTGAGAATGCCGGTCGTGGCCCGGCCCCCCGCTGTCTCTGAAGACATGGTGGAGGCTAGTGCCACGGCCATGGAAGATGAAGACGAAGATGAGAGGCTGTGGAGCCTCCCTGGTGATGACGAAGACGACGACATGGGCGAAGACGACCTAGAAGAGCTCTTCGGCCGTGGAGCTCGAGCTGGCGCAGAGGGGGACCCCATCGACCTTGATGCTACAGAAGAGGGTGGTGGAGAAGAAGACGGTGAGAACGACGACGATGACAAGGTATCACGCCCATCTACCTCTGATGTCTGGAACGACTTCAAGAAGCTCTTCAAAATCGGTCCCAAAGGTAAGAAAATCAGGCATGGCGCTGTCTGCATCCATTGCCACAAGGAGTACTCCGGTAGATCTAGTGGTGGCACTAGACATCTTCGTCGTCACCGTGCTAAATGTGCTAAGAGGCTTGAGAAAACTAGGAACTATACTCAGTCTCAAATCTCTTTTAATCCTAATGGTTCTATGCGTAATTGGGAGTACTGTCCTATGCGTGCTCGTACTGAATTGTGCCGATTGCTTGCTAGGGTAGATGTTCCTATCAGCTTTGGTGAATCTAATGCTTTTGAGGAGTACATAAAAAATGCTCATAATCCTAAGTTTGTTGCTGTCTCTAGACAAACCACCACTAGAGACTTGACCAAAATGTTTGATGAAAGAAAGGTTAAGCTTGTTGAACGACTTGCTTCTGATTCTGTTAACTGTGTTTGCCTTACCTCCGATATATGGTCTGGCAATGCCAAAGAGGATTATCTTAGTGTTGTTGCTCATTACATAAATCCTGATTGGCAACTAGAGAAGAGGGTGCTTGGTCTTGTGCTTATTGATTGTTCCCATAATGGACAGAACATTGCTGATAGAGTTGCATCTGTACTTGGTGAATATGGTGTGCTTGAAAAAGTGTTTGCTGTTACTTTGGACAATGCTTCATCTAATGTTTCTGCCACTTATGCTTCATTATCTTGTTAAAATTGCTATACACCTGAATAATTATGCTAATGACATTCACCTTAGAGATGTGATTCAACCTATGGTAGACAAATATAATAAGTATTGGAGGGACATACCTTTGCTCTATTCTTTTGCATTCATCTTGGACCCTAGAGCTAAAATGAAAGGTTTCTCAAAAGTGCTAAGAAAGTTGATGAACCTTACCAGTACAGATTACAGTGCTTACTAGGTTGGCACTAGAGCTAGACTGACAGATGTTTACAATAAGTATGAGGAGAAGTTTGGAGCTGTTAGGTTGAGGAGGACTGTCCCTCAAAACCTGTCTGGTAAGAAAAGGTCTGCTTGGGATGAAATATATGATGATGATTCTAATTCTTCTGGTGGGGGTACATCTTCTACTTCTATGCTACATTCTACTCTTAATCTGTCTAGAGATACATCTGCTACTGCTTTGCTGCATGCTGCTACTTCTACAGGTTCTAATGCATCTGAACTTGTTAACTACTTGGACTGTGACACTGTTAGCCAGTTGGATGATTTATTTGACATCTTGAGATGGTGGCATGAGCACAAACTGACATATCTAGTGCTGTCCATCATGGCTAAGGATGTTTTAACTGTTCCTGTGTCTACCATATCTTCAGAATCCACTTTTAGCATGACTGGCAGGATCATCGAGGAGCGGCAGAGGAGGCTGAAGCCGGAGACGGTGGAGATGCTCACCTGCATCAAAGACTGGGAGTTAGCGGAGGCAAGACTGCAACACAATGTGGAGGACAAGGAGCTTGAAGAAGCATTTGAAGAACTCTATCTTGATTAGTGCTTATTGATGCCAAGGTACATCACTAAACCAAAACCTAACACAATGTGGAGGACATCACTAAATCTACATCATTATCCTAATGCTAACTCTGTTCTCTCTACAACACAATATGGAGGACAAGGACAAGGACAACTGGATAAGGACAAGGAAAACTAGACAAGGATTCTTGAAGAAGCTTTTGAAGACCTTGGTCAATTAGTTTCTCTCTTAGTTATCATTTCTGTAATAGGATTGTAATTTGAAACTTGGACAATGATGTAAGATTAAGAACAATGAATTTATCTGGAGCTTGGCTGTACTCTTTTCCTGCCTAGGGTTTCTCACAAGGATGAGTTTTACCTAGGTGGGTTTTTAATGAGGCAGCCATTGCACAAGCTCCCTATCTATTACTATTTTCTTAACTCTATGTGTGTTTGATCTGATTTTGCTTCTCCACTTCAATTTCTGGAGTTGTTGATTTGAAAATGTGCTTGTAAAGTTAAATATGATGCTGCCAAATTGCTTGTGACAGAAAATGTTCATAGTGCCTGGGCTGGCACGGCACTGACGTGCCACCGTGCCTGGAGGCACGGCATGGCACGCTTCAGCCCTGATAGGGCCGTGCCTGGGCTGCTGTCTTAGCACGGTGGCACGTCAGGCACGGCACGGCGGACCACCGTGCCGCTTAGTGCCGTGCCTTGCCGGGCCGTGCCTGACCGGGCCCGTGCCCGTGCCGGGCCGGGCGGCCCGGTTGGCCAACTATAACCCAGGCCAGGGCAGTCCAGAGACCGCAGAGGAGCAGCATCGGGCTTGCCACCAAACTCCAAAGGCCATCAATGGCTGGAATGCATGCATGTCGTCCTGCACTGCATGGTCATGGTGGTGCGGTCCAGAGGTCAGATGTCTTGGTTGGCCACCCAGGGCTCCGGCTCCAGTAGCTCCTCCTATGAGATTTGTGATTTATCCTTCCATAAAAAAAATTATTTCTTATGATATATAGATCTGTGATATTGTGATTTGTGATTGTCTGGAGATAGAAGAAGACTGGAGATAGAAGAAGGCTAAAGGTAGAAAGAGGATGAAGGTTGTTGGATCTTAATTCTACGGTGCAAAAAAATTAATGTGTTGAAACTGAATAAAACACATGGTAGTAGGTAACCCCAAAACAAAGGCAAAACACCTCTCAACAAAAAAAAAAAAAAAAAAAGACAAAACAGAGCCAACATTATACTGCATTACGTACGTATATAACCTAAAAAACAAGAAGTAAAATGTTGTGGTTTCGTAATACATGGTGAGACGGTGGAATGCAGAATTAAATTGACGCACATTCCAGATCTAAAATCGAACACTTGTATTTGCTGGCTCCTGAGTTATGCGAAACCTTTGCTAGCTACTACCAGTAACAACTTGTAACTTTGTAAGTAGTATACAGCAAAGCGAGCAGAGCATCAAGGACAGGAAGAATCGAGTGCATCGCTGCTTGTGCAATGGCCATTGCTTGATCTCTCTCCGGCAGCAGCCTCCTCTTCCAGATCAGACGAAGCAGGAGAGGAGCACGACGCACCGGCACTTATTCCACATTGCTCATCCATGGTTGCAGCTGGAGCTGCAGCTGCGGTAGTGGTATTGGTAGCGCCACCGCCACCGCTGCTAGTACTGGAGCTGCTGCTGCTGCTGCTGCTGCTGCTGCTGCTGCTGGAGCAGCAGCAGGCGGTCGTTGTGGTCGTCGTCATTGTCGCGGTCGTGGTGGTTCCGGTAGTGGTGGCGGAGGGAGAGGCGCTGCTGCTGCCGCTGCTGGTGCTCGTGGCGAGGCCGACGAGGAGGTCCACGAAGGCGCCGACGATGAGCGCGTGGTTGTGCTTGCCGTTGATGCGGAGGTACCAGAGCAGCATCTCCTGCAGCGCGGGCCAGTCGCGGAGGCCGTGCGCGGCCACCATCTCGTGCATGGACGCGCGGAAGTCGCGGAACGGGTCCTCCGAGTCCAGCGCCACCGCCACGCTCTCCTCCACCAGCGACGACGTCGACGGCACCTCGGTCTCTGTCTCGGCATCGCTCGCCTCGTCGTCGTCGGAGCCAGAGCCAACGGGGGCGGCGTCGGACAGCATCGCTCCCGCCGCGTACGGCGCCAGCGCCGCCTGCAGCAGCCCGGGCGCCTCAACAGGCGGCGCCGGCGGCGCCAGTGTCCAACCCGGCGACGGCGAGGCGGCGAGGATGGAGTTGGACGCCGCAGTTGGCGCCGGGGGGCCCGCGTCGAAGAAGAAGCGGTCGGTGGAGGTCCGGCCGAGGCTGCGGATGACGGCCTCCGACCACTCCTCGGAGGCCGTGGTCGTGGAGAAGCTCCCGTCGTCAATGACGTCGTCTTCCGCCGCGTCCCCGCCGTCGTCGTCGAAGAAGAAGCGGCAGGAGTCGGCGGCGTCGAAGTAGACGGAGTTGACGGTCCTGTACATCTCGTCGCCCGGCGAGGCCCCGCGCGGCGGCCGCAGCCTCCCGCCGCCGCCGGGTGCAGCTGCTGCTTGGTCGAAGCGGCGGCGCCCGGCGGCGGCTGTGGTGCACGGCTGCCGGTCGTCGTCGCCGCCGCCCTGCCCGCGGAAGGACGCCGTCTGCGGCTTGGTCGCGCACGACGGCCATGGCCACGGCGAGGAGGGCAAGATTGGCGAGGTGGCGGCGCCGGGCTTGGAGTGCCTGGAGGTGGAGAAGATGGAGGTTAGGCCTCCCTTCCTGCCCATCGCCGGCCGGACTCGGCTCGGACCACCGCGCGCCGAACGTGGATATTGAATGGATGGATGGATCAGAGGTGACTGGTCAGTGAATGAGCCCAGCGAGCTGAAACGAGAGGCTCCGGATGGCAGCAATTACTCCGAGCAGAGCTTGCCGTGGGTCATGTGCCCCCCGCCCGTATTTATGTATTCCTGCTTGCCACCTCGCAAGGGCAGGGGGACGATGGGGAGTTGCATTCATGTCATGGGGAGCAGCAGGTGTCGACGGACGCCATTATCGCGATCGCGTCACGCGACGCAGCAGCTCCATCATCACGTAACTGGCCTGAAATGACAGACGTACTTGTGTTATTTTCGACGAGCGAATGCAGCTGTGGTTAAACTAGCGCTGGTTGCCTGGCTCCTTTTGCAACAGAACGGTAAAGACGGTGAAAAAAAAATTGTTTTGTCGCGTGATGAGACTCAAATTTCAAAAAATAGAAAACTCTTCAATACGATGTTGGATGAAGATAATTTTTATATATAAATTGTAGACCTCGATGAGATCTACAACTTTATAGTTTTAATTTTTTTTCATTTGAGGACAGTAAGATGCTCGAAAAAATAATATAAAATTTCAGCACCATATTTTGTCGCGTGATGAGACTTAAATTTTAAAAAATAGAAAACCCTTCAATACGATGTCGGATGAAGATAATTTTTATATGTAAATTGTAGACCTCGATGAGACCTACAACTTTGTAGTTTTGAGTTTTTTCATTTGAGGACGTTAAGATGCTCGAAAAAATAATATAAAATTTCGGCGCTCCTGAAAATATCAAAAGTAACTGTTTACCCGCAAAACCGCCCAGAAAGTTGAAAGTTGAACTTTTTCGAGAGTTGGAGGGTCAAAGTTGTCCGGTTTTAAAGTTCGAGGTTGAAATCCGGACTTTGATGAAAATTGAAGGATGTAAATTAGACTTTACCCGAAAAAAAAGGAAAACTAAAATCTTGGCCACCAGCAGTCTGCAGCTGCAAGGAACAGTCTGAAACTGAAAGCAATGCAGCATGCAACAACGTCTAAGGGCTCGTTTGGATGCCAAATTTTTTAGCAATTAGTGTTTTCGTTGTTATTTGGCAATTAGTGTCCAATCATAGTCTAATTAGGTTTAAAAGATTCGTCTCGTGAATTTCGTCTAAATTTTGTAATTAGTTTTATTTTTTATTTATATTTAATGCTTCGTGCATGTGTCCAAATATTCGGTGTGACGAAAAATCTTAAAAAATTTAACATTTTAAGGTGCAACTAAACAGGCCTTAACTGAAGGTTTACTTCCCCTACTGTTTGACGTTTTTGAGTGCATCCAGGACTAGGAGATGAGCTGAGCTGGGGGGGTCGTTGCGACTGCAGCTGCAAGCATGGCCAAGCCAAAAGTGCATCGAGAGGCGCATGTGTTGCTGCAATGCTGCTGCTGTTCAGCCAGTTCGTTTGTTCAAACCAGCTAATCAATAGTATTTTTCTCTCATAATATATTAGCACCAGTTAATCTAAATCAGTCCAACCAGCGAACATGTTTCTGCACTATTTGTTTGTTTATATGCTGATGCTCCACCATTCGATGGAGTGGCATCGCCCATATGCATGCATGCTTATTTTGGAGTGCGATCGATCGGTTTTCTTTTGTTTTTTTGTGATTCCGAGTGCGATGGGTTTTGTCAGCAAGTGAAGTGGATGAGGAATTTTTTAAAAGGGCTGACTTGCCCTTGCCCCCCTATGCACTCTTCGCTAACTCTGAGAAATTCCATGTCGGTTGTCCTTCTCACGCCTTGTTTAGTTGGACCCCAAAGTCTAAAAAGTTACTACAGTATCTATCACATCGAATGTTTGCGGCCCGTGTATGGAGCATTAAATGTAGACGAAAATAAAAACTAATTGCACAGTTTGGTGAGAAATTGCGAGACGAACGTTTTGAGCCTAATTAGTCCATGTTTGAACACTATTTACCAAATAAAAACGAACGTGCTACAGTAGCCCCAAAATCCAAATTCACCCAACTAAACAAGGGCTCAACCCTTCGTCACAACTGGGCCTTGTTTAGATCGCCGTTAGGAATCAGTATTTGGTATTGTAGCACTTTTGTTTGTATTTAATAATTATTGTCCAATCATGGTCTAACTAGGCTTAAAAGATTCGTCTCGTAATTTACAATCAAACTGTGTAATCAGTTATTTTTTTATCTATATTTAATACTCCATACATATATCCAAAGATTTGATGGGACGAAGAGAATGAAAAAATTTGAAATCTAAACAAGGCCTTGAAAACTTTGTGGTTTTTGACTGCCACTGTTTATGAGATGGTGCAGAAACCTTGACGAAACAAACCTGCAGCTGCGATCAGGGCAACCAACGGCTAGTAAGAGGAGGACATGAGCATTTATGGACAAGGTACTGTGCAAAGCAGACGGCATCCATTCTTGGCCTCGTTTAGTTCGTGGCAAAGTTGGCGTTTGTACGGTGTTCGACGTGACGACGAACACGGTAGTACTTTCGTTTCTATTTGTGAATTATTGTTCAAACATTGATTAATTAGGCTTAAAAAATTCGTCTCGTAAAGTTCAACCAAACAATACAATTAGTTTTTGATTACATCTACATTTAGTACTTCATGCATGTATCGTAAGTTTGATGTGACAGGGAATCTTCTTTTTGCATAGTGTCAAAGTTGGGAGTTTTGAAGTAACTAAGGCCCCGTTTAGTTCCAAGCCAAAAACAAAAAATTTTCAAGATTCCTCATCACATCAAATCTTGCGACACATGCATGGAGTACTAAATGTAGACGAAAAAAAAACTAATTACACAGTTAGCCGAGAAATCGTGAGACGAATCTTTTAAGCCTAAATAGTCCATAATTGGACAATTTTTACCAAATAAAAACGAAAGTGCTACAGTAGCCAAAAGCCAAAAATTTTCGAAACTAAACGGGGCCTAAACATGGCCCTTCTTTGAATCCCGTACTTGCTTCTGAGTGCGCGTTTAGTTCACGAATTTTGAAAATTTGGCTACTGTAGTACTTTCGTTTTTATTTAGCAATTAGTGTTTAATCATGGACTAATTAAGCTCAAAACGTTCGTCTCGTAATTTCCAACTAAACTGTGCAATTAGTTTTTTTTCGTCTACATTTAATGCTCCATACACGTATCGCAAGATTCGATGTGATGGCTACTGTAGCATTTTTTGGAAAACTTTTTTGAAACTAAACAAGCATTGACCACGACTAGTAGGAGAGAGAGAGTGTGTGTGTCTATTATACATGTTGCAGCAGAAACACGAACTGTGGCCTTGTTTAGATTGCAAGTTTTTTCACTCTCTCTTCATCACATCAAATCTTTGGACACATACATGTAGTATTAAATGTAGATAAAAAAATAACTAATTACACAGTTTGATTGTAAATTACGAGACGAATCTTTTAAGCCTGGTTAGGACATGATTGGACAATAATTGTCAAATACAAACGAAAATGCTACAGTGCCAGATACTGATTCCTAACCCCAGTCTAAACAAGGCCTGCAAGTTCCTTGGTCAGACTTGATAGACAGCACATGTATGTACAGAGGACCGGGTTTTGTGAACATACAGCTTGTTCGGCTGGGCAAAATCGGTTGGCTGGGCCGCTATTATCAGCCCAGCCGTTTGGCTAGCCCAAGTCCAGCCGAACGGCTGTAAAGCTAGCTTTCCGCCGCGTCCCTCAGTCGCTCGCTCACTCACTCCAAACGGTAGCGTCGTCCTCCCTCCCTCACTCCGTCCTCCGCGCCCCCACGCCTAAGGTTTCCGCCGCGAGGGTCGTCGCCGGTGTGAGCTCCGCTTCTCCGTTCCTTCCCCGGCGCCGTCGAAACCATCAAGCTTGTTGAAGTAGAGCGCCGTATCCCCCCTTCAACCCGCCGACGTGGCCGCTCTTCCGACGGCAAGCAGGTACCCTCGGATCCGAGTTCACCTCCCTCCCTCCCCACCTGTTCGGGCACCACTATCGTACCCGCCTTCTGGATCCGCCGCCGCCGTCGTGCCCCCCTCCCCCACCCCCACTGGATCTAACCCCCACGTGCTCCTATTGTAACTGAGCCCGCCCGTCGCCAACGGATCCGCCTCTCAGTTCGCCGGATTCGCCATCCTTCTCGTCGGATCTGCCACACTGGCAGCGTCGTCCGCTTCGTCCTGCTCCTCTCCTGAAGGCAGTCACTGCATCCGCCGTTCAAAACACGCGAAGACTTCTAGCAAGGCAAGTCCCCTTGTATTACGACCAAAATCCCCTGTTTGTTACTCTTACAAGTGCTGCAAAATTTCTTGTATGCTGCAATCATCATACCATACATTTTGCAAATGCCAACAGATGTCCAATGACCGTGCTAACTGGGATGAAGCCACCTTGAGGACCTTTCTTGAATTAGTCATAGAACAGAAAAACCTCTTTGCACTGGAACAAACGAGGACTCACGACCGTCGGGTGGTCAAATCTGTATCCACAATTCGAAAACAAAATGCAGTTGGGTTATGAAAAGAAACAGCTTCAGAACAAGTTGAATGACCTGAAGCGGTCATATTTCGCTTGGTGCGACCTTCAAACCCACACTGGCCTAGGCCGTGACCCGATCACAGGAGGCGTCGCAGTTGACCCCTCATTTTTTGAGGATGGCAACGGGGTACCTCCTTCCACCTATTTTCTTTCTAACCCACTGACTACCAAGTACTAGGGATGGTCCTATTCTATTTGGCCTAACTTGTGGAGCCATGGCACGCGTGTAGGAAAATAGCCAATCGGCGGCGCAGCGGACCAAAGTTCCCAAATGCCTTGACCTACTAGTCACTCTTTGGGGACGCACCCCCCGTGAAAGAGGCACGTTGCTCGCTGCTGGTGGACATCATCGCGAGAGGACACCGAGTACTCCTACCAATGAAAGTCCACACAACATGTCCTAGGAACCTGTAGGTACACACAGTGTCGGCCAGTCCTCCAAACGAATCAATAGAGA